ACTGCACTAATCGATAATTTAAAACAAGCGATAAATGTTAATAAGGCAAAGTTTAACGAATTCATCAAATTTTGTTAGGACTCTATCTGAATACTCTACATGCAGTGATATACATAATATCAGAAATTCATTGGGAGATATATAATTGATAAGTAAATAGGCTACATTGAATCAATCATGAGAAAACGACAGGAGCGAATGTTTTGCAGTTCAAGTCCAAACAGATAATTTTGAAGGGATGTAAAAGACTAAAATTAAGATATATTAAATATTCCCATAGTAAAATTTAGAACAACACATTTAAGCGAACAATAATGTTTTCAATTAGATCTCATCCAGGCTAAACCCTAATATATATAAGTTTACAAATAAAAATTCAAATATAAACCAATCATGGTGTTTTGTCTATAGGATAATACGATGGTGAATATAAATTGTACAGTTAGTCATAATACTGGTAATGATAGTGTTAATAATAGTAATAATGATAATAATAATGGTCTTATCAATAATAAGGATGAAAAAATGAGGCAATCTGTGATAACACGAATAATGAAAAACAGTATGATTAAACAAACAATTGTTCAGGTGGAATTAGTCGATAAAGGCTAGTAAAAACAAATGAACCGATTACGTAATGTTGGATTGTAGGGGAAGGAAATGAAACACGTTTCTAATGAATATAAGATAAGATTAAGGGATGATAAGAAAGGGGTTGGAAATATAAATAAAGGGTGGGTCTTTCGTTGGTTATGTCTTATTAGGCCACGGGAGGGATAATGGCTGCACGAACTTCTTTTGAATGCATAGTTTAGGTTTAATAGTTCGAATGCCTATCGCCTCAGCTGTGTGCAGTAGACGAATACGAAGCCTATTAGAAAGATTCGGAGGGATACGATGAATTACTTTGAAGGCTTTCGTTTTATCGACTACATGACCACTATCAATTAGGTGTGACAGAATTGAGCTACGGATTGTTTTTGTCTGTCCTTTGCCAAACCACGATGGGAGATGTTCACTAACACGTTGGCTAAGCTGTCTAGTAGTACGCCCAATATAACTGTCACCGCAGGTGAAGTTGAATTGATAAATACACATAGATGTGGCGAAACTATCAAGCTTATCCTTCGTTTGCGTCCCAATCATTCGTTGGCTAGAGAACGACAAACATAGGTGTGCTGAACATGTGTAGAACATTTTACGCAGCACACCTTTTAAACATCAAATTTATTTCGGTAACTTCCTGAAATTTCAGTGTTGCTGACGCGTCATTAGCGAAAAATGGAAAATAGTCATAGGTATTATATAGTGGATGGTGACTGGCAGTGAAATTCAGGATGCGCATTTTGTCATACTTGGGACTTGTCATCTGTACATACCTGCACTCTCAGATGAGTGATAGTATTCCCACCGAAATTCAAAACTGATACCTATCGTTTTAAATACCTAAACGCTATCTGTTAGGCAACGGGAACCGCCCCGTGCTCAGTAGATATCAGTCATCAATTGCTTAATTTAAAATTCACATAAAATAAGAATAATTTTAAAAGCCATCTGTAGGATAATACTGTAACAATGGGATGCCTATTGTATAGGACTGAAGTAACAACCCCACCCTAAAGCATACGGACAAATACCGCTGTATTGAAAAAAAAATGCAAATAGGCTAAATATGTTCATAGAATAGTTGGTAAGCCTGTTGCTGAAGCTGAGTTTAACATGCGTCTGGACTTATGATTTAATCTGGTTAACAGTCCAAAAATAATATGAAAAACTATACGAACAACAAAAATTAATACAGTTATGACTTAAATGATAATTTCAGACTTATTATTCAAAAAGATTAGTAAATAGATAATGGTCTGGTGTTTACTATGCAAAATGTTTGACGAATTACAGGCTAGTAGGGAATAAATTTGCATGTTGCACCCACTCATATTAAATAAAAAACATTTTATTGTGCTGTTTTAACTGTTCAACCATATAGAAAGAAATTTAGAAACAGAAGTAAAAAGAGAGGCAGCTATGATGTTTAAAACTGGTGGAGGAAATTGTAAAAAAAAACAGTGCAACGTTGTATTATTATTATTATTATTACTCCCTTGGACTCCGAGTGGAACATAGGGCTTCAGCAACACATCTGAACTTTCTTCTATTTTCTGCCGTCCTCTTTATCCTGCTCCAAAGCTGCCCGTAATCTCTCATCTCGTCCTCCTCCTCACCACACAATCTCCTCCATGTCAACCAAGCACCGACTACCCACTCGTCGTTTCCCATTGGGATTCCACTCAAACAGTGGCCTACATTGAGCGCGATGTCATTCGATGGTCTCCTCCTCGTGGGCCCAATCTGTGGTGAGAGCAGACTGCTAGCCAATTGGTAGACATCAATCTACATCAATGTCTAGGTCACTAATATTGGCCGTGAGAAAATATGAACAAGGCTGATTCAACAACCAATCACAGCAGGCCTAACGTGGGCAAATATGATTCGCAGATAGATGGCTCCACTTTCCGAGAAATCTCGGAAACAACCAATCAGAAGACTACGTTTGTCTGCTTAACTTCCAAGAAACAACCAATCAGAAGACTGCGTTTGTCTACTTGCATAAGCTATAATAATGCACAGGAAATATATATAAATACATGTTGATTTCTGTAATAAAAGGATCCGTTGCCGTCCCTTGTCTCTGTTGTTACAAATCCATCTCCATTTTCTCTTACATATTTGTTGAGTAGTCGGCTCTTGATTGGTTTGTTCCTAACCAGAGTTTCCTTTTTCTAATTCTTTCTGGCTGGTATACCATTGATGAAGTCAGAAAAAGGGGTAGCTGTTGATAAAATTCTGTGAATTGCCGGAAATCCTTTGCGTGATACGCTGACCAAGTTTCTGACCCATGTTGAATAACTAACTGACTTCACATTTGTTTTCAAATCCGAACATTATTCTTTATGCTGGTTGAGTGCGGAAGATTTCAAAACTGGTTTCAGGTTGATGAAGGCGTATCTTGCCTTTCCGATTCTGGTTGACTGGCTTTGACATCTTCATCCGCCCGTGTCGCCTGTGGTTGAAACAATGCTTCCTAGCAAGACAAGTAAGTGAAGTATTCTCTGTCAAATCTATCCTTTCGATAGTGATTGTTGCTGGTTATTGTTGCTGTTGGCGGTAGTTGGTAATCTTCATCAATTCGGTCTTCTCTGTATCCACCTAAAGTCCCATCTTCGCTACCTACCAGCCTCTTCTGCCAGTTTGTTGGTTTTCACCTGTAAGTCTTCAAGTTTGGGTGGCATTAAACGCAAATCATCCACTTGCGAAATCCAGATCTTCTAGAGTCTTATGAGTGGTTGTCCAACATATTCCTGTCTTCTCGCTCCCAATGCATAGTGTTCTGCATAATTCAATGCACCGCAATTAGGAATCTCATGGGTGATAATAGGCAGACTGCCTTGTCTTACTCCTGTATTCACTCCGAACGCATGACTGAGCTTTCCGTTGCAGATCACCCGACACGTGGCATTGTCATTTAACCAATTGTTGAATTAGGTTGGTAAAGATTTGGGCACTGAACACCGTAGTTTTGAAGCAGTTTCCAAATTACTTCTCTGTCGACGCTGTCATTGTGTGCGTCGTTGTAGTGCACAAGAAAATGAAATTATAATCCTACTTCAGTGAGTATAATGAGCTGATTTAGAAACATTACTGCTTCCATATATCGTTGGGATGTGAAAACCCTTATCGAGTTGCGATATAAATGTGCCATGATAATGTTTCAGAGCTACGTACCTGATTCTCACAGAGAGTTTGATAATAGTGGCAATAGCAATAACGTTACATGGATAGTGAGATGAATATTGCAGTGAATAGTTTCTTTAGAATAAAACAAGCCATGTGCATTGAATACATTCAAGAAAGTTTTTTTTTTATTTTCATATATTTTAGTGTCTTTTACCATCGTATACTTGCACAGTCTGTTGAAAGAATTTTTCTAATAGGTTAAGTATCCAACTGTATTTCTTACTGGTGTATGTGCGGGCATCTTAACTAGTTCAAGTTCTATCTCTGATAAGTAATTGTTGATCATAATGACATAACTTTAATGGTAATTCAGTATAATCTTAACTTTCAGCCAGCCATACCCCTTCCACTTTTACGCTTCTGAACTTGACCTGTGGAACATTTTCACCATGACTAATCTATTGTATTTTATTTATTAGTTATATATTTTGTATATCTGACATATCTTCACATAGTATAATATACATAACACTGTTTGTAAAATATTCAGCTGAGTTCAGCAGAAATTTATTAATATCATCAAATCCTATTTTGTTAGCATTCGTTACTTTTTTTAAATTCGTAAAAGAATCACTTCCGATTTAATGGTTTGTGAGTTGATGGTTCAGTGGTAGAATGGTCATCAACCATGCAGTCGACCGGGGCTCGATTTCTGGCCAATGCAATTCTAAACCGCCTAACTTACTAGCCTGGTACGTTGTCTTGCTCTACACCTGCGGAACCTTGCCTTTCCGAGATGACGACGTGAGACGACTCTGCGCATTCGGTCATCGCTGTCTCCACAGGATTGTTTGCATTCTACGATATCATCCAGCGAGTACTTCTGAGGTCCGGCGGCGTGTGTCTGAACACAGTGGAGATCACCATTCGTTGAGTGTTGTCATCTGGAAACACCAGCCCCGGTATCTTGGACATGTGCTACGAATGTCATCCCAGAGGCTTCCGTACCTGTCTTTGTTCAAAACAAAAGATATTTTTTTACCCAATTAAATTTCTGATTATCTTGCAATTTCCAGTTTTATTTTCTGTCAACACAGTTTTGTTTTATGTATTTGCTCTAAAAAATTCCTCGTCTTTCACTAGAAAGTAAGGGGGTGGAAATTGTGTCTATCCCCCTTCTTCGCTTTCCCATTGGTTCACGCCCATATTGGCATAGATTAAACTCTCACTGTGTTGACATTCTCTTTAACTGGCTTTTTACTACATAGCGAGTATTATTCATTATACTTCAGCATAATTGATGAGTAAATCATATTTAAGATACTTACTGCTGTACATACTAATTTAATGTAAGTTGAAAGTTTAAGATTTTATTGTATTATTCAGCATTGTAAATCATTCCATTCAATATTTAGGTAAATCCATATTAGTTTGTTTATTAAATGTATCACACAGTGAAACAGTATGATTTACTGGATGACGTCTCGAACAAAATTAATTGTTCATAATCATACCAAGCTTTACACATATATCAATATTTAAAGTGTTTATCAGTTTGATTACACACATCATAAGAAGTGTGCCCTGAAGATATTGTCTAGAAATGCAATGAAAGCTTCACAAATAAACCATACAGCTAAAAGAGCACAGCACAACACCAATATCACCCATCAGAGTTGCAAATATCATATTTTAAGAAATGACATCAACAACTCATGTTCCATCAAGGTGGCAGATACGCCTTGCTAACTGGTGAGTGCCAACTAGCACGAAACCTAAGTCCAAGGCTTCCTGTGGCCGACTGCCATCAACCATCTATTGTCATCAAATCAATGTACACCGTGATGGCGAGCTACCTAGAATGATGGCCACATTGAAAACTTGACTTGTCGAATTCAGTCTGCACCAAAGAAAGGACTAGACATATCACACTAGTTACTAGTGTCCAATCAAAAAGATTATCCAGTATGATTAGGTGTTGCAAAACTAGAATATTACGGAGCTAGATAGTTTCATAAATCCTGAGGTTTTTATTTCAGGTAGTACAACTCTTACCATCAATATAGGCATCTTTTTTACTGTTATGCACTACCAACTGACTAATATGAATAGTTGGATGGCACTCACATCAACCAGGAGTACTTGCTAGTCGTATAGAAGTGATCTAAACACTGTACTGTCATTTCGCCCATTTGTTGTCATGCTGGTTGTCTAATGAATAAATAATCTTCTTAACACGACATACTTCTAAAGCAAAATCATTTCTTATAAATTAGTTACCAGATGAAAGGCAATAAAGCTGTTTATTGCTTAGGGCTGACGACACTTTATTGATTACGTTCTCCCATATGATAAATAAACAATGCTTGAAAGAGGTAAGGTCTTAAGACTTAAGCGATAAGAAACCATAATACTAAGGCATTGTTCAACGTCAATGAACCTCTTAAAACAAATACAGTTATTGCAGTTTAAGGCTACGAGATTAATATATTTAAACAATCTATGTACTGTGTTGTTGTTAATTACACAAGGAACATACAGTAAATGGCATACCAGAACTTTTTAGCAGTATGGTTTATTACAATCTATAAAAGTGAATTAAATATTAGATTTTCTCTAATACACATCAGCTTGATGTGATCGCGTTCTCTGAGGAGTTTATTTGATAAGCTTTCATTGTCCTTCAGGATAACATCTAATTTTGTCGTAATGTGAGGAAAGTATATGTTACTCCTTTGGTTTCTTAGCTCTTCTCTTGTTTTCGAAACTTCTGTTTACCTCAATATATAAATCATTTTTTTAAACTATAATTATTCCTCTCAGAGAGGACTACTCTTGATCCTTTATCAGGCTTTGTAATTGTCAATCATTTTTTCACCCATCAGTTTTTACAATTGTTCTCTGTGTTTCTTCGTTAGAATACTTTTACAGTCGTACTTGATGTTTTTATATTGATAACAACAATCTACTAGACTGGATTTGAAGTGGTTCAACTCCAGACTGGAAAATTTAACTAGACCCATTTTTTCGACTATATACGTTTCCGAACTAAGTATTTGTACCCATACGGTTGATTAATTTTCTTCCGTCACAACATCTTATGCCAGGAAAAAGTATCTCAAATTATATTTTATTTAGAATTAATGGTTCTATCTATAATTAAACCGAAAATCTGGGCACGTTACGTTGATTATTATTATTATTGTATCCTTTATTTCCTAGGAATTTAGGGAATCAGCTGCGCACCTCCATTGCCTTCGGTTTTCTGACAACTTTTTCACCCTGCTCCAGGTCTGTCCACATGCTTTCATCTCCTCCTCGCATGACCTCCTCCAAGTCACCCTCGCACAGATGACCAACTCGCCGCTTCCCTTTCGGGTTCCACTCGAGGGGTTGTCTAATGATGTCACTTGATGGTTTCCTCAGAGTATGGCCAGCCATCCATCTCCATTTCTTCCTGCCTATTTGTTTCACAATCGGTTCCTGCTGTGTTGGTTCGCTCATTGCTAGAGATCCCTGTTACTGATCTTTTCTGGCCAGTCATCTGATCTTGAGTAGTATTGAGCGAAGACAACCGTTGATGAAGGTCTGAAGTTTTTCTTTGAGATGCTCTTTATGACTCGCCAAGTCTCTGATCCGTATAGTAGCATTGACTTTACATTTGAGTTGAAAATCCGGATCTTATTTTTGATGCTGAGTGCTGTTGACCTCCACACAGATTTGAGAGTAATGAAAGCTTGTCTTGCTTTTCCGATTCTGGCTTTGATATCCTCGTCAGTTCCGCCTGTAGTTGAAACGATACTTCCCAGGTAGGTGAAGGAGCCTGTTTCTTTCAGGTTCCTCCCATTTATGCTGGCTGATTGTTGTCTGTTGTTGTTGTTGCTGTTGGCTAGGAATCTTCATCACCTCTGTTTTATCTATGTTCACTTGAAGTCCTATCTTCTTTGGATGCTTCACCTGCCAACTTGTTACTTTTCACTTGCATATCTTCCAGTTTGTGGGAAATCAGACATATATCATCGGCGAAGTCCAGATCCTCCAAGTTTTTTGTGTCAGTCCACTTTATGCCTGTTCCCTCGTTGGTTGCCATTGTCTGTCGCATTATCCAATCAATTGCAATCAGGAAGATCATTGGTGATAGTAGACAGGCGTTGATGATAGATTTGTAATAATTAAGAGAAATGTGATTTAGAATATACCCATAAATTAATAAACAACATATTTGAAGACATTAAATTCACAAGAGAAGAAGAATTAGATAACAAAATCCCATTTTTAGGTGTCTTAATCAGGAGAACCAACACAGGAAATTTAGATACACAAGTATATAGAAAGCCAACACACACACACAGATCAAATACTCAACTATACTAGCAACAGTCCAATTACTCACAAAAGAAACTGTATGAAGACATTGTTTAGAAGAATTCAAACACATTGTAGCACACCAGAGTTGAAAACAATGGAAGAAAAATACTTACAAACGGTGTTCAAGAAGAATGGTTATCCAAAAAATTTCATCAAAAAGTGTTTAAAATCGAATGAAAGCACCAACAAAGAACCATCACCAAAGACCCAAAAGAAATTCATTCTACCATACATCAGAAACATCTCTGAAATAACGGCTAGAATAATGAAACCGTTTGATATAGATGTAGCACACAAACCAGCTGAATCGCTTAATTCGATCCTATGCAAACCAAAAGATCCGATAAAAAAGGAAGATAAAATTAACCCATTTGCAAAATAAATTGTATGAACTGTAACAACATTACATCGGCCAAAGTGGGTGTCCCCTTCAAATAAGAATCCAGGAACACAAATCAGCTGTGAAAAGACATGATATAAATTCTTTAGTATTAATGCATACAGACGATTATGGACATCAATTTGATTGGGATAATGTTAAAATCTTAAACAGAGGAAACACCAAATGTGCCAGGGAACTCCTAGAAGCCTGGTACTCAAATGAAAACGCAATAAATAAACACGTTAATATAGATGAAATATACCAACTAATAAAAAGTAAATCAGGTGATCAGAAAGTTTAAAATACCAATCAATAGAAAATGGTCAATACATATCTAAAGATGGTTACGGGAGACGCAATTATATCAGTGATGTGAAATTTAAATCATTTCACTTTATCCTAAATACTGCGCTGAAGATGTCAACCAGAAAGACGATGAAAGCTCCGCAATTAAACCAAGGAGCTCAAAGAACACTATCAATTTCAAATCATCCACCTGAGTTACAAATCTTTTCTATTATATTTTATTTAATTCAATGTTATTATATTCGTGAACGTACCTTCTAGGGTCTACCGGGAGATCGCTATCTGCTTCCTTGTTTTTTCCAGCCATTTCATTAGCTCGGCATGGTTCTTCTGTACTCTTTTTTTCAGTAACACGAGAGAGACATAATCCATACAAGGTGTCCTTAGATGTTCCGAGAGGTCATCTCCGACATACTGCCTGCAGGCGGTATTCATTTCGTTCTCTTGTATATATGTATGCAAAGAGTTCATCTGATTTATTAGTATTGTTCCATTGATTATGAGTGGAACATAGGGCTTCAATAACACATCACCACTTTGTTCTATTTTCTGTCATCCTCTTTATCTGCGTCCATGATTGTCCATAGTCTCTCGTCTCTTTCTCACACGACCTCCTCCATTTCACCCGAGGACGATCCATTCGTTGCTTTCCATTTGGATTCCACTGGAGGGCCTGGCGTGCGATGTCATTCGACAACCTCCTCAATGTATGCTCTCCTTCAAATTTGTTTAGCAATCGGCTCTTGGTTGGTTTGTTCCCAGTCAGAGGTATTTTGTTACTAATTCTTGCTGGCCATTTCATCTTGGGTATGGAGAGAAGGCAGCTGTTGATGAGAGTCTACAACCGGTTGCGAATACTTTTCGTCACGTGGTAGCACGCCACACACCGAGCATCATGTGATTTCATGCATGTTATTTTAGCATTTTCTTATTCTGATAAACTCTACCTCGACTAAGAGACTTTTAATAAACTTTACGATTCGATGCAATTAATAATGAAGCCAAGGTAATTGGTGACTAGCAGTGGAATCCAGAATGCGCATTTCTTTCTATTAAGGACTCGTCACTGGATGTACCTGCATTTCCCAGTGAGTGATGTTTCCACCGAGGCTCGAAACCAGTGCCCATACTGTCCAACGCCAAAGCGCTATCCACATGACCACTTGGAACACGAGAGCCACCTCTTGTGCAACAGGTCATGTTAATTTAATTTGACTTTGGATTTTCCCGTCAATTTGACCAAATTGCTCGGTCTCAGGTTGACATGTCGGCTTCTTGTGCAGATGCTTCGACGATGTCTGGGCATTTAATTAGAAGTTAATTGGTGGATGTTGACTAGCAGTGGAATCCAGAAGATGCTCTCGTCGCCCAAGTGGTCTAGTGGATAGCGCTTTGGCGTTTGAAACTATGGGCACTGGGTTCGAGCCTCGGTGGGAACATCATCACTCAATGAGAAATGCAGATACATCCAGCTGACGAGTCGCAAATAGGACGAAATGTGCGTTATCCAGGATCCCGCTGCTAGTCACCACCTACCAATTAACTTCTAATTAAATGTCCAGACATCGTCGAAACATCTGCACAAGAAGCCGACATGTCAACCTGAGACCGAGCACTTCGGTCCAATCAATCGACGGGAAAATCTAAAATTCGACAAAATAGCCTTTGTTTCACAAAGATTAACATTATACTTCAGGAACTTAATGAGAACCTTCAAAGCTTCAGGCTCCTCACAATATTCAAATTCATTGAAGATGCCTATTGAAAAATTTGAAAGACAGATTAATGAACAAAGAATTTTCTTTCCATTAGCTTCGTCATCAGGTCCTACATTTATATGATGGTAATACTCTTAACTTGATACTACTGCATATGATATACATACAAAAATCTGTCAACCTATAAAACTAATTTTTCTTCAAACCCTTTTTTGTCTTCTTCAACAGAATACACAAGTTTCTGAGAATGTCTGGACTAGAAGCATTGGATTATCAATATCGTAGTTTACAAATATATAAAATGGAACAAATTATTGGTCGAATGAATTCTCGAAAATCAGGAATAATTCATGAGTAAAGCAGAAATAAATTCTCTTTCTATATTTTTAAAAAAAATTACAAAATGTATAATTTTCTTTTAATTTCTTCTTTTTTAGATTTCAAACAGATCCATTTCTACACTATGCATTTAAAGGTAGTGTATTTGTTAGTTGGCTTGAAGAAAATATTCCTACAACTGATGAAGAAGAAGCAATGCATTTGGCTAACTTGTTTCTATTCTATGGGTATATATTTCGTCTTACAAAATCACATCGTTCATGTTTTCAAATGAATAAAAATCATTGGTATCGATTTCAGGTTGGTTGGTTGCTTGGTTGACTGGTTGATCGATTTTGTCTACTGTCAGTGATAATTTGTTAAACTATTCCCAGACGTTGATGGTCTTTTTCTTATTTTAGCTGGCATATTGTCTCATTTATTTGAAGAGCACGTCAGATTACTGCGGCCATATCTGATATATGGAAGGATGATGAGATAGAATATCTAGTTACGGAAGTGGACACTTAGTTAGCAGATATACTGCATATATATTTAGCAAGTCAGATATCATCTACGATCAATATCACATACAGAACCACTGAGAACCAAGAATTGGGGGATAGCTGTTTCATTCCACTTTGAGTTTCTCTACAGAGGTACGCATGCATGAGCTCAAGAGGAATCAAGCCAAAAACCTTCATATTATAAGGTCAGCATGTTACCATTCAGTTTATGGTCTTCAAAGGTTCTCTAGATGATGTCATCTTAAAGTGGGAGCCAACTACAAATGAGTATAGATTAAGTTAAACACCACTTTTTTCTCCATTAAAATAAATCGACTTGTAAGTTCAGTTGATTGTCAGAAGGCTGATGACTGATAGGCATTTTTTAAGACTAAATGCGGAAGTATGGATATTAATTAGTTTGATAACCTTAGGCGCGTCATGAAAGCACTTCAAACCAATTACAGACCTTCATTAACAGCTGTCTTCCCTCAATACTCAAGATCAGATAGCCAGAAAGATCAGCAATAGGGATCTCTGGGGCGAACCAATGAGAAACCAATTGTACAACCAATGTACAGGAAAAAATGGAGGTGGATTGACCATACTCCGAGGAAACCATTAGGTGACATCACAAGTAGACTCTCCAGTGAAACCTGATTGGGAAGCGGCGAGTTGGTCTTCAATTCCAGGGTGACATGGAGGAGGTGATGTGAAGAGGAGATAAAAGCATGTCGGCAAACGTAGAGCCAGGTGAGAACGTTGGCGGAGGACCAAGTGCAATGGAGATGGGCGATTGAAGCCCTATGTTCCTCTAGGAACTAAAAAACTATAATAATTATATAATAACCTTGAGTGCAGTTGTTTTTGGTATTGGTCAGTTCAAGTAGGCTAGATGTTCTGCTTTAAATGATAATATCTCCTCATAAAAATACAGACTGTGTCAAAATGTTTGATGTAGACTGTAAATGTTTTACTCACACCTTACAAAAACATACATTTTCAACAGAAAAGTACTACTCGAAAACGTGAAGAATGAAATCAAATTGATATAAATCAGGAAGAGCAGATCAACTGGATTCTAAAATTGTGCCTAAATGATACTTAACTAAGGACACCACGCTACCAATCTGTTTGTCCTATTGGAAAGCTTTGACCCTGGAAACTAACGTCGGTACTCCATGTTTCTCAGTGGCTGTGCAGTTTATGTCATATCATAAAGAAAAACATTTTTAAAATTGGAATGCATGTCATTATGCTTCATATCTACTAATGGAATGAAATTGCAGTAACATACAGTCACTCTCTCCATGTCAATGAGATTTATCAGTCATTCTACAGGCTTATAGCTAAACAAATTTCGAAGTATTAGTTTATATATAGCAAAATATTTGTTGGTGCTATAAACCAAGTATAAAATATTTCAGGTAAGTGGAGTAACAGTCGTGTGGCTTCCAAGTTATTTTGCTCACTCCATTATATAACAAAATTACATCTCACAAGATGAGTGAATATTTACAACTGTACACTTACTCCTACTTTTTCTTCATAGGCTCCATTCTACTGGATATCTAAAATATCAAAACCAGATGATATAGACTATGCGGTATATTTAATGAAAAGAAGTTTTAAAAAAGGCGGTTTCGATGAAGACGATCCAGAAGAAAGAATATTTAAAGAACTGTCGAAGTCATTAGCTGATAAATGGAAAATTATTGAACTACAAGCAGCTGAACAAATACACTTGGAGCGTAAACGTGATGAAGCTGACAGAAATATATTAAATTTACAGGTAATAACTACTTTAATTGTAATAATCAGTACTATATTCTTTATTGATTACATTGAAAGGTAGGCTATCAGATTTTTAAAACTACCAAAATCTCTACAAACTCAAACTCTGAAGATGTTCAAAAAGACAATAAGGACTCATAAATACACCCATTCATCACAAAATAGTGGAAGCCATACAATTTTTACATCTGAGATGCAATACCTTTTTACATTTTCAAGTATTGGTTTTGTAGGGATTTTTTTGATTGGTTGGAGGATTTCAACATGGCTGACATCAGTTGGAGAACCACTGGACAACCTGGGAGTACTGGACAACTGTTTCGTCCTAATTTGTAACTTTTCATCAGTATGCACCCACCACAGGGGATTTAAATCCAGGACCTTCTGCTTACAAGGCTAGCGAGCTTGTACACCATTAAGCCACTGGGATCTGATCAACTTCTGCCAATTCCTGACATTTTTACTTAAGGTTTTAGAAACCAACTAACCTCCTTACTTTTTGACATTCGTTATTCAAAGCACATCGGGGACTCCCGAAACTGTTCTCTTCGAAAGGATTTAAATGCACTTGGCCTTGCATAATAGCTGTAAACTTTAACTCAGCCTGTTAATACTGTCAGTCATCTTCATTGGGAAGAAAATGTATCGAATCTTTCAGGAAGAATAGTGATAAACTTCAGTATCTCAGGCATCATTTAATTGGTTACTGGAATAAATTAACGGATTTCAGATTTCTTAAAATGATGAATGTACGTTTCCAATGAAATTCTTTTAACTACCACTTTCTGTCACAAAGTTTGAAATAGAGCTTTCCGAAAACTGTGTTATACAAATGAGTAACCATAATTTAGCCATTTAACTGGTAAAAAAATCTTCTGCTAATTTTCGGATTATCTGTGTGATGATTTCATTCAGGTTTACAGTTGAATTTTATAAGATTTGAGCACAGATACATTGTTCACACCTTAATGTCTTTATTTTATCTTTAAGGAACAAGCATTTTGGCGAATACATCGTCCACCAAAAAAAGAAAAATATAAACTTACTGATCCTCCACCAAGACATTTTTCACATAAACAAGTACAAATTCGTCAAGAGCAAATGAGAAATAAGAAGCTGGAGAAAGAGAAACTACTGCATGGTGAGCAGTACTTTTATCTAGGTTATTAACTTGTTTTGATGTTCAGTATCAGTTTATGCCATAAATGGAAAGATGATTAGTAGGCATGTAAGTGTTGATTGCATCAGTGATTCAGTGCTTCTGCGCCAATCAGTCATGTAGTAATTTCAAGTTCGATCCTCTGACGATAAACTCTGAAACCCCATTCGGTTCCCTAGCAGGTAGTGAGCCTAAAAAACAGAAGATGGTTAGACCTGCTAGACTATGCAATTTGCTTGCTAAAGAGATTAGTCTTTAGGGCTAATTAATACCAGCCTGTGCTACGAAACGAATATAACTGTGTTTACTAGATCAGTTGTGGGGATCGTGACGCCATGTATGTAAGAGAAACTTCAAGGCAGATAAATATAAGAGTGAAGGAGGATGAACAATGTCTTAAAGTAGTTCCAAAGACTCAGCAGATTTGAAGAAGCTAGAAAACAGAGCAGCGATTGCAGTACAATAGATGGAAACGGGACACAAGAACTACTTTGATAGATCTAAGGTTCTATAGAAACATTCACCGGAAAACGGCCTCTTCACTGAACTACTTGTTTTGTTTTCATTAATATATCAAGTAATTTATCGGACGACCATTGAGAGGTTTTACTCCTTTGTGTAATAATTACTTTACTGGATCGATAAAATATTATGGTTCACTTAATATGATAAGTGAGGTGAAATTCTATCAGAGTTTATTTACCTATTGTTACATGCTAGGGAGTGCTAATGAGAAATCGATGAACCTGAATATCTAAAGGTCATTGTAGTTCCCTCGGAGTTTACCACTGATGAGAAAATTTGATTGCTCAAGATGTTTAACGACGCTTAAACTCACCTAAGTTAATCATTCTGTTTCATTGTTAGTCTGATGAATATAGTCCCAGACAGGTGAACATCATGATTACCTTTAAATGCTTATCTTAGAAAGGACGCACATAGAACAACTTATGTACACCTAACTTTAAAGAAACAGGTGAATTGATATATGTACACTGGAATGGTAGTATGCTAAAGTTTGTCATTTAAATTGGCTTAGAAGCAATGGATAGTTAGAGTATATCAGTCTGAACGTTGCTACAGGGAAGATCTTCTCTAGGATCCTGACCAAAAATGGATATCCAGCATAGTTTGGGGAGAAAAACATCAAAACGAAATCAAGAAGAGAAGAATGCTATACAGCGCCAAAGAATCTGGAATTCAGGAGAGACTTAACGGCAGATATCCTAAAGAGAAGAATTTCTAGTTCCCTAAAGTTTATTGTATCTATCAAACTGGATCATATTTACAAGTAGTTAGCAACGAAACGCAGTAATTAGCATATTCAATTTCGTTTCAAATTGAGCTGTAATCACTCTTGCATAATACTGATACTCGGATGAAATCCTACTATGATTCATTACAGATTCAACTATTGGTTAATACTACTAACTTCAGTCAACGAGTGGGTAAAACAGCACATGTTACAAATATCATACTACTTAGGTCACCCAAGGATTCTAGATTGATCATGTTCAAAATGCTTTCTGTACTAGACTACTAGTTGAGTCTACTGTGTAAAACTTGATTAGACAGTGCGACTGATCAAGTCTTGATAGATGAGGTAGAGTTCTAACTAGTAATCTATTGTGTGGATGTGGTGTATGCCTAAGCTTATGAGTTATAGACTAAAACAATGTGTGAATCCCCTTCCTTCGTGTTTAAGAATGAGATTACCTGTCTGTCTGTTTGTCTGGATTCAACATAGAACTTGGCACCGAAGTGCACCAGTTCGAGTTGCCACGTTCCAAATAGCACACAAAGGTAGACAAGAAGATAAGTTGAGAGAATTAATAGAGTTTCACAAGCATAATAGTGAAACAGAATGGGTAATGGCAGAAATGAATATGAAAGATTACAGAGACTGAATACATCTGCGCTGGCCATTGACAACGATTTTGAGCCATGTCACCTATTGTCTCCAGCCACTGATTCCTAGAGTCCCGAGGGCCCCAACCCGAAAGTCTGCATCTCCCTACCTGATTTAGTTTAACTTTCATGGATTGATGAGGCCATGTTTTTGTTTGGCCACCACTGGCTCTTTTCCAACCTGCACCTATATCAGCTAGTAATGCCCGTCGGGGGGGGGGCGATGGTTAAGCATGTGCAGCACGTGGCCTAACCATCTCAATCCATGTAACTTTATAGTCTCGTCGATTGATTTTCCCTCTTTGCCCAACACTTTACGCCTAACGTCAACATTACTTACCTTATTATACCACCTAACGTGAGAAAGAGATCGTAGACATCTATGATCGAAAGCAGTCAACATTTTCATGTCTTCAACTCGTATTGACCATGTTTCAGAGCCATAGAGGAGGACGGAACGAACTGCTGAGCAGTACACAGGTCCCTTGTTTGATAGCCGGATGTCACGCCTACGCCAGAGATGGTGTAAGTCAGCGAAAGCAGCTCGAGCTTTTTGGATCCGTTCTGAGATTTCATCACCAATCGGTCCGGTGGTCCTGAAACAGCTTCCCAAATAGGTGAAGTGGTCAACATGTTCTATCACTTCATTAAGCTAGGAGTTGACATAGTCCAGTCCTGTAGCAGCATCTTACATTTTACAGGGGTTAATCGCATTCCAAACATACGAATATTGCTGCTCAAGGTGTTCAGAATGAGATTACCTAGTTTTGAATAGCCTTATGTACATAATTTTTTAAGTTGTATTTCATTCACCTGTTAGGGTATCGGTACTTCTGTTGATAAGATACACTTTACCACTTCTTACTTAACGCGATTTACCTATGTACCCAATAATAATAATAACAGCTTTATTCCCAACAGTATTTGTGGTACAGGTATGGAATTTTCAGCGTGCATTACAATATATTGCATCTAATTACCTCAGAAATTTTATGAGATTTTAAAATCAAAAAGCAACACCCAAGAAAAGGTAAATAAAAGGAACAGCTTTGCGTTTACATTTTAAACAATGCACCACAGGATGTGAAATATAAAATTGGTGTGTAGTAGGAGACATGAACAACAATGTAACAGTAACGAGGAAAGGAAAACAAAAACCAATGGAACTATTTGTTAGAGTGCCGCAGTAAGTTTATCGTGTCATACCTAACGGATTTCTCATCACATAACAGCTGTGCCAGATATGGTATTGTGGAGTTTTTGTATTTGGTAGTCCTAGCATATAACCTCCTATAGCTGCTTCTAGTTCTACCAAATGAAATGCAAGGAGACAGCCGCGTATAGGGAGGATTCTCGGGGTCTGACACTATTGTGTTCGCTGGTTTCTTACATGACATTATGTGTCTATCCACAATAGCGTTAACCAGTTGGTTTAACGATATCCCACTTGCCCTACTAACGGCTTTTAGTGCCCTTCTCAGCGAAGCAAAGTCTTTCTTAAATAGCCCAGGAAAGATTAATGGGGAGCAGTAAAGAGGGATGGGTAGAATACAAGAATTTACAAACTGAGAAAACAAAGACTGCTTCATGCCAGACTGCCTAAATTTCCTAATGTAGAACGTTAAGCGAAACATCTTTCTACTAACTAGCAAGATGGGGGAGGACCAGGAAAGATCGGTGGAAAAACTCAGCCCAAGGTACTTGACATTAGATGTATTTTCAACCTTTGTGCCGTCAATGATAGTGGGGCCATGTGAGCTAACTATTTGTTGTAGGTCACATTTACGTCTGAAAGTGAAATTGACCACCTGACATTTAGACGGACTAAGCTTAAGACTGTTTGAAGAGGACCACTAACTAATTTCCGACAGAAGTTATTTAATTTGGAACAATCTGACTGAGTTGACAGGCATAGAAACTGAGAGGTCATCGGCATACTTAACAAAAGTGGCTACATCAGAATGAGGCAAGTCATGTAAGAAAAACGAAAACAGAAAGGAAGAAAGAATAGCACCTTGAGGAACACCAGCTAAAGTAAATGAGGTAGTGGAGGGCTTTCCATTGTAGACGGTGCACTGCTTTCTATCAGAAAAATAGGAATGCAACCACTTATTTGTCCAGCTTTCAGCCTGTGTTGCAGCAAGCTTACTTAGCAAGAGTGACCTGAATACCTTGTCAAATGCAGATGTATCAGTACTCTACCACACCTGTAAGTAGTAACGACCAAGCGGAAATTAAAAATACCTGGTTTTTAAGGAAATGTTCTCTAGTAGGCAGTTTATATGAGTAAAATAAAAGGTAGAGATTATGTCAGGAGAAAGACCTAGAACTTATCTAACGGTTTTAATTACAAACTCAAGAAATTTGCGTATTAATAGTATAATGGGGAATTGCAAAATGACGTTGGAGCCAGTTTGTGTATGTACACATTAAAACAAAGTCTTGAAACACTGATATTTGTACTACACACCCAAATTAGTTATAATAAGAAATGCTATGAATGTGTGTACGCATAAGACATGGATGATTTTTTTTAGTGTTCTCATGCATTTATATATTTCTAATTATAAGGTATACTTTTGTCATGTTAAAACATTATAAAAAAATAACAGGTTTTAGTAACAATGAGAATCAATAGTTATAAGTAATTGTTAGATTGACTTTTCTTCTTATTCCTTCTACCACTGTGCCACCGACACACTGTTGCACTGATAGACCAAATCTATATCAGATGAAAATTTCTTACAAGTAAATAAATAAATAAACTTCCGCAATGCAAGAAAAAACACATTGAGTAGGATAAAATACCGTCATTATATTTCATTGGTTCTTGTCAGCTGCATACACCTATTCATGAACAATTTATATCAGTATATGCATATGAAAACTAACCTGTTTCTTCTTGCTTGAATCTTCTGATAACCGCCGAAAGAGTCGCAATTTATACTTGCACACAATTTCAAACAACTCCCTACCTACAATTGGGAATTTTTCGCAGAACCTCGTGAAATTGCACTGAAGCATACTTCGTATGAAACAATATTGCTTCAAATGATGAATGTCGATTGTCGATTTGAAGGTTTTTCACAGGGAGTAATTACTT